TCCCGAGGATGCGGGAACGCAGAGGCACCGACCCCTGAGCCGGTGCAGAGCTAGCTAGCTTAGGAGTGAAAAGAACTCACGCCCTCCGAGGCCCTGCCATTTCTGGGCTCGCGGAGAGGCCGGTCTCTCGCTGAACTCCTATGTGTGTGGAGCCCCGCTGCCTGAAGCTCGCCCCTGCAGGTCACACGATCTGGAGTCTCCCGCCTCCCACTCGGGGCCAAGACAGCCGACCGCCTTTGAGCAGGCGAAGATCTGGAGGAGAAAGGGAAGATGGACCCGCTGCGGCCCAACCGCCGTCTTGCTCCAGAGCTGCGGCCCCGGGGAGGGACCAAAAGAGCGGGTGGCTGCGCGGTATCTTGGCTAGTTTTGTGAGTAAAATCAGAGAAGCGTGCAGGCGTGGGGTCCCCTGCCTGGCTCAGGCGGCGCTTTGCAGCGGGTCTGCATGGAGGGGCGGACCTCCGCGCTCGCCGCACGCACCGTGGGAAGGCCGCGGGAGAGCTCCGCGCCGCGCCCCCGCCTCTAGCTAGCTCTGCGCCGCTCGTGGCCGGTTTCGTGATGACAATTATATTCTTATAATCAAACAAGAGCTCTCCTTTCCCTCCAGTCGAGGAGAAGAGCACGTCTACAGGGGCCAGAAGAAGAGCAGGGAGGAGCCATAAAGGGAGAGACGCTATTGATAGCTGCACAGTACAACAAACAAGCAACAACCTCTTGTCGGTGCTCCCAACATTTCCGAGTGGAAATTTCCCCGGATCTGCGCCCTCCATCCCCGCCCCCGACGCTTTCTCCCAATCCTTTCTGGGCTGCTCGAGAAAGGTGGCTAAATAGTGAGACGGAGGAAAGAAGAGGCTGAAAACTACCAGTGACCTTGTAACCAAGACCCGCACAATCTGTCGCCTCCTGCTTCTTGGAGGCTGCAGGCATGGGAGCTGAAAGCCTAGACTTCTGTCAGCACCCAGGTTTTCGCGGCGGGAAGTGACAGACACACCCAAGGAAGCACACACAATCCAGAGAAGTCGAAGAGGCAGTCTGCAGGCAGGAAAGGCTGGAGCCACGAGGGAAGAGTAGGAAACTAAACGAATCCCGAATATTGGGTCGCCATTCTCCCAGCCCCAGGGCACCTACTCCTGGCATTGTTCGAAACAAATTTGGCCAGAGCTTTGGGCGGAGTGAGAAGCTCCCAGAAACACCCCTCCCTAGGCAAGCATTGAGCTTGGGTCAGGTGTTAAGCAGCGTTATTTGAATAAATAAAGGAATTCTAGTCTGGGAGCCTGGATACCTGGGCCCAACCCCACTAAGGGGCCCTTCAAAAAGCCTAGCAAGTCACATGATCTCCTTGGCCTGTTTCCACTCATAACTATGTGTTCTGAAGAATCTGCAGGATTTCTTAAGAATCACCTTGCAGAACAGGGTCGGGGGCCAATGTCTTCTTTCCTTGACCTGAGTATCAGCAGAATGGAGGGTGAAGCAGGGCCAGACAGAGGTGTGGGTTGGTGGCTGCAGCTGCTCTGTAAAAAGGTAGTCTTGACTGGAGCAAGAATCAGGATATTTGGGCAGCAAATGCCTCAGTTAGTTTTACCCTGAGCTTGGGCAGGGGCTAGAGCAAGGGGAACGAGGAGAGAGTGCTGGCAAAGAAAGAAGCTACTGGTTCACATTTGCCATTTTAGAAATAAAGACATTTAGAAAGTGAGATGGAGAAGGACGATGCCAGTGTTGTTTTTCTCTCCATTTACTTAGACATTACCAGAGCTCAGCTGGTTGGAGCTTGTGTGTATGCGGTGGATGGTATGGAGTGTCTGTGAGTGTCAGTGAGAGGCCTCTGTAGTAATGAGCAAGCTTGGGGATTACATAGGTTTGCCAGATAAAATAAATCTGGTAAATCTAGCAACCCTGGGTATGTGAGTTTATCTGCACTTATGCAAATATTTCTCCCTAAGGCTTTTATTTGCTTCCTGGAGGGTCCCAACACCTATGAAATTATTATTTCAGGGCCACTAGTCTGTCCAATTTCTTGATTATGGTTTGAGGACTGGAGCACTTCTCTTTTCCCAAGGACAGTCTTTTTTGCGGACCTAGCACACTAGGTGGATCCCGTTGGTCTTAAGTCCTAGATGGGGGTGCCCAGCAGACTTGCTCTCACAGGATATGCCTTCCACTCTCTTCTGCCCTTAGCCAAATCGCTGGGGAGGATGGAGAATTCTATTATGAGGATTCCATGACAAGGGTTGCACCCAGCTATGCTTTTCCATGTTGTAGGAGACGAGACTGAGTCCCCCTGCCCCCCAGGCCTCTGTTGTCCCACCTGTGGAATATACTAGAATGGAGACTGCTGTTGGGTAAAAGATTTCATTGACTCTCACATGACCCTGCAGGGCGGAAAAATCCCTTCTACTCTGCCCCCAGTACTATCTACAGAAAACCTAGTTCAGTAGGCTAACTGGAGAGGACTATTAATAGATAGCAAGGGTGTAACCCAGCCCAGGGCTAGAAGGGGGTTTGAGATCCAGATGGGAGACTACACTGCCCAGAACCCTTTTCTCCCCAGGAGTCTGCAAAGTGCTTTCAATATCCTCCTTTGTATCTAGCCTACAGTGATGGGGCTACTTTTACATATTAGTCAGGGGGTGGATGTTTTTAACCTCATTTTTACAGAGAAAGAAACACAAAAGTACAAAGAGCGGGTAAGGAGTGAAGCCAGCACTGGAATCCCAGCAGGCTAGCTCCAGGGTCTTTGCTCTTAACTACTGTTTAGAGCAGGAAACTGAGGCGGCGGGTAGGGGTGGAGAATCACTGGCTGACTGTCCTACAGTCTGCGACAGCTGAGTGCAGCTGGGGCTCGCGGCCTGCATGCCTGAGCTTTGACCACTGTGGGGCGCTGTCGGGGCAGCAGCCGGTCCAGCGGCTCTGAACTTGATCACGTCCAGTGCCCATCTCCCCCTGTCACCCCCAGAGGTTGCGACGGCCCCAGTCTGAATTGGGAGTTACTGGTTGCTGGAGGGAGGCCAGGAGAGGAGGAGTCCTAAAGGTATGGCCAGGAACCCAGCTGATAGGAAAAAGAGCACGGAACCAACACCGCGTGCACAAGATTGTGAAAGCTGAAGGCAACACTGGCTTGTGGTTGAGGTCAGGGTTCATTGACGGAGGTCTCGATGCTGCCTGTCGGTAGAGCCTGCAAGTCCGGCCAGAGAAGGGGGAAGGGAGAAGGAACGCAGGTGGCTCTGCAGTGCGACGGGGGTGGGAGAAACGGGGAGATTGAGAAAGAGATTCTCAGACCGACGAACAGAAATCCAGAAAATGCAGGGTTTCCACAGAAAACAGGCAGAGATTCACCGAGGGCTAGAGAAACACAGTCACAGAGCCTGAGTGAGACAAACGGGTACCAAGAACCAAGAAGATCGGATACAGGCAAACTCAGCGATGGGCCGGTCCGCGCTCTCGAAAGACGACCAAAGCTCCCCAGAAAAGCTTTAGGAAAGCGGGCAACGGGCACGCGACGCGCTCCCTGGGTCTGACCACACACAGTCCCCGGTCTGGAGTCCCGCGGTGTGGCAAGGGGATGGGGTCCCCTTGTGGCGGGGTCCAGGCCTTGGAGGGGAAGACAGGGGCGCAGCCAGAATCGCTCACCTCTCCGAGGACCGAAGCTGAGAACGCCAACTTTGCTCCTTGCGATCACTCAAGTGCGTCTCGCCTTGGGCCGGAAGCCGCTCGGGTTCCTTCGGGCCCCGCTCTGGCAGCGTTGGTCCCGGCATCTCAGGCTCCGCTGGTGCGGCTCCAACTGCGCTTCGGCCTCGGTGGCCCGGGCGCTGCCTTGGGGAGATGACGGGTGGGGGACTTGTCGCTGCTACTCCCAGCTCCAGCTGGCACCCGCGTGAACCCTTACCATCCAGGGCTGAACGCAGTGAAGTCAGCGGCTCCAGGGAGAGAGGGTTTGCGGGATCTGCGGGCAAGAGGAGAATCTGCCTCCGGACACCCGAGCAGCGCTCCCGCCGAGGCGGCTGTTTGTTCCCGCCGGGCCCCTCCGCCGAGGCACTCTGCCCGCCCCCGCCAGCCCCACCCCGCTCAGGGAGCTCCGCCCCGGACTCGCGCTCTTCCGCCTTAGGCTGCCGCCAAGCGGGAGGGACTAATCCCCCGACCTCTCCAGCCCGTGGCGGGGGAGGGGGGGCTGGGGCCAAGACCGGCAGAGTAAGGGGGGGCTCCTCAGCTCCTTCCGCCCGCACCCTAGGAGCTGCCCCCGGCTCGGGCTCCCGGGGCAGCGGAGAGAGCCGTCGCCAGTAGGGTACTCACCGAGAGATGAGAGCGGCCGAGTGAACCACGAGGGGGCGCTGCGGAGCCGGGGGACACCCCTCCCCGCCAGTCCTCAGTCCCCCGCCCCCTCCCCGCCCGCGCGCAAAACACACTCGCCCCAGAGGCAGCGCGGCGGAGCCCGAGCCGCGGCCGGAGCGGAGCCGGAGAGCGGCGGTGGCGGCGGCGGCACCATGACCCTGGGCAGCTGCTGCTGCGAGATCATGTCCTCCGAGAGCTCCCCGGCCGCGCTGTCCGAAGCCGACGCAGATATAGACGTGGTGGGCGGCGGCGGCGGCAGCAGCGGTGGGGGGGAGCTCCCTGCCCGCTCCGGGCCCCGCGCCCCCCGGGACGTGCTCCCCCACGGCCCCGAGCTTCCCCCGGAGGAAGCCGCGGGGGAAGCCGTGGAAGACGAAGAGGAGTCCGGCGGCTGCTCGGACGGCGAGCCCCGCGCTCTAGCGCCCCGAGGGGCGGCGGCCGCAGCGGGAAGCCCCGGGCCAGTTTCGGCGGCGGCCCGGGGCGCGGCGGGGCCCGGGCCAGGACCGCCGTCGGGGGGCGCGGCAACTCGGAGCCCCCTGGTGAAGCCGCCCTACTCGTACATCGCGCTCATCACCATGGCCATCCTGCAGAGCCCCAAGAAGCGCCTGACGCTGAGCGAGATCTGCGAGTTCATCAGCGGCCGCTTCCCCTACTACCGGGAGAAGTTCCCCGCCTGGCAGAACAGCATCCGCCACAACCTCTCGCTCAACGACTGCTTCGTCAAGATCCCCCGCGAGCCGGGCAACCCGGGCAAAGGCAACTACTGGACGCTAGACCCGGAGTCGGCCGACATGTTCGACAACGGCAGCTTCCTGCGGCGCCGCAAGCGTTTCAAGCGGCAGCCGCTGCCGCCGCCGCATCCACACACGCACCCGCACCCGGACCTGCTGTTGCGCGGCGGGGCTGCAGCGGCGGGGGACCCCGGCGCATTCCTGCCGGGCTTCGCGGCTTACGGCGCCTATGGCTACGGCTACGGGCTGGCGCTCCCGGCCTACGGCGCACCCCCGCCGGGCCCGGCCCCACACCCGCATCCACACCCGCACGCCTTTGCTTTCGCCGCCGCCGCCGCCCCTTGCCAGTTGTCGGTACCCCCGGGCCGTGCCGCGGCGCCACCATCCGGACCTCCGACGGCCTCGGTGTTCGCGAGCGCAGCCTCAGCTCCGGCCCCTGCGCCTGCTCCGAGTGCAGGGTCGGGCCCGGGCCCCTCGGGCCTGCCAGCCTTCCTGGGCGCGGAGCTTGGCTGCGCCAAAGCCTTCTACCCCGCATCCCTGAGCCCTCCCGCAGCAGGCACCGCACTCTTGCGCCCCGGCCTCAAGACGGACGCGAGCGGAGGGGGCGCCGGGGCCGGGCAGAGGCCTTCCTTCTCTATAGACCACATCATGGGCCACGGTGGCGGCGGGGCAGCACCCCCGGGCGCCGGCGAGGGCTCCCCGGGGTCGCCGTTCTCGGCCGCGGCGGGTCCTGGGGGTCAGGCCCAGGTCTTGGCCATGCTGACTGCCCCGGCCCTGGCTCCAGTGGCCGGCCACGTTCGCCTCTCGCACCACGGGGACGCTCTCCTGTCCTCAGGACCCCCGTTTGCCGGCAAAGTCGCAGGCCTCAGTGGCTGCCACTTCTGACCGTGTCGGGATCCGGGCCACTTTGAGCCCGCACTCCTCAGTCTCTCCTGGAGCTCCTGCGGTCCCAGCGGAACTCAGGGAGTCTATTTATGAAGAGTCTCCAGACCTTGGGCCGGCGCCCGTGGTTCCACGCTCGGAATCTCTCCGACAGTTGGGACGAAGCGGGCTTCATCGCTCAGGAAGAGGCCCGGGTCTACGCGACGAGGTCGCTAGCCGTGATCCCATTTCAGTTTGAGCAGTAAAAGGGGGAGGGGATGTCTTCGCTCTTTGCCAGTCTCTGCGCCTCTCGGCAGCCCCAGAAGAATGTTTTCCCGGAGAGGTGCCTGCCCAGGCCGGGGCAGATCCCGCCAGAAACACCGACTGCGCAGAGAGGTCTCCCCTTCTGCTTCTCCCTCACTCCTTCCCCAGCTTTGAGGCCCTGATTGTTCAATATTATAATTTAAAGACACCTATTATCTACTTTGTGCTTAAAAGGAAAATGCAACTTTTTTTTCCCCCTCGCTCTTCTCCAAAGCAGTTCGTTTTCTCTTGGAAGCCTACTGCAGTGTCTACACAGGCGAAGGTGAACGGAGAGGTGAAGCGAGGGTCTCCACAATGCCTGGGCAATCCCGAGATCCCACTCCATTGAGGAAAATCCTCCCTCTTTTGCGTCGGGGGCGTTTTGGAAGGAACTTTACCCCTTTCCGGTGGCCGGCTGGGTCCAGCCATCCAGGGCCAGCAGCCCTCTCCGCGGTCTGCTCTGTCCCAGGCCCTGGGATATTTATTGTAGCTAAAGGCAATGAGGTTGGGGTGGGAGAGGAGGGTCTGGGTCAGGGACCGGAGAGGTGGGGGTGGGGTGGGCCAGGGCACATCCTGTGGCAGGGGTCCTATAACCATGTGTAAATATCTGTATCGCAGGCTGCTATCTGCGTTCTCGGTCCACTGGGTGTGCATTGATTTAGGCTTCTCCAATTGGGGAGACTCTGTGAAATCGCCTGATGGTTTGTGTGGAAGAAAAGAAAACCTGTCTCCCCCCACCCCCCATCAGTGTCAATTGAATAAATGTACGTGAACTCCAGAAGTCACCAACTCGGTCTACTTGCCTGCACTCCCCTTTCCCAGTCCGGAGTCTCACAGACTCCTAGGCAGAGAGAAGTGAGGAAGGGCCCTGAGCAGGCCAGGCAGGCAGAGGAGGGCTTGGGTTTGTCCGATACAGGGGACACTGTGGTCTTGGCCTTCGGCTGTTAATAAGACCAGGATTCTGGGATGCCTGTGACCCCTCTAGCACTTTCATTTTCGCTCTGGTCCTCGAAGGTTTCTGCCTGGGGTGTCTGCAGAGAGGTTTTATTTCAAATGTACCTGGGGGGTTCTCATCTCTTTCTAGTTCAGACTTAGTATGGCCTGGACAGATCTGGGTGCCTCAGGCTCATGGATACTCTACCCATTAAGTACAATGTAAGTGAAAGTGTTTACTGATGCATATTCTGTAAGCCTTTCTGTGCTTCTGGACATGGGGGCTTTTATGGAGCTTGTGTTCATGTTTGTCTGGGTTGTCATGTAGCCTCGCTTTTTGTCCTTTTTTTGGGGGGGTGTCAGTTGTATTTCAGGATATCTGTGTTTTTATTTCTGTGTGTATCTGTGACCATGTGTTTGTTTTCGATTCTCTGTCACCATTTCTTTTTGTGTCCCTGAGAGAGGTCTCTCTCTGACCATTGTAGGGCATTCTTTGCAACGCCCCCCCGACCCTCCCCAATACACATGGAATAATCAGAGTGAAAGGCCTGAACTGGAAACTCTGAAACCCCTCTCTCCTCCAGCCAGAGAAACTTGGGGGGGAGGGCAGTATGAACTAAAGGAGAGGATTGGTGAGGCCTTCTTCTGTGAAGGTAAACTTCCCCAATCCTTGAGCCTTGCTCAGAACCTATTGCCTGAGTGCAAGGCCACTCGGCTGGCTGGAGTCTTCCATAAGCCCTGAGTCTGGAACTCCCAGAGGCCAGACTTGCAAGTTTGTTGGGTGAGAGGTGATGCTTGGGGTGAAACAAAGATGGTTACTTAGCTCTTTTCTCTGAACATTCAACTAAGGTCATAGGAGAAAAAGAGAAATATGGAGGTGCAGTGAGAGGCAGTTCAGCCTTCAGAGAAAATAGACACATGCTGGGGGCGACAAGTCTGTTGGGAGACAAGTGACAGAGAAGGAAGAAGGAAAGGTCAGAGAATCAGATGGAGTGAGCTTGACAGGGGCAGACAAGGAGAAGCCTTACAGGCTGCTTTAGGCAAATCTCAGGCGTTAGGAGCAGTAGGAAAGAAGGAGGAAGTAGAGGAGAGAGTACCCTGTATGAAAAGGGTCAGAATCAGGATCAGGGTAAGAACGCACCAGGGTCCGGGAAGAGTGGTTGGGACTCCTAAGTCTCTTAACACCTTCCCCAGTTAAGGAGAGAGGAGGTTCCAGGCATAGATGGTAAATGCAACCCCTCTGCCAGAGGTGAGGCATCCTCTCCTCCATCTTGTTGAGAGTCTGCGGGAGTGGAGTGAGACTGAAGCACAGACCTCCCTTCCAGTGATTTTATCAGCTAGTCCAGGAGAGGGAAGGTTAGATATAGTGGTAGATAGAGGGAAATGTCTGCTGATTCTGGGATAATGGTCTCTTGCTGGCTGCTTCGTTGACTTCTGTTGCTGAATTTGATTTCATTTCTTTTCACTTGAGGAAGGTTGAGCACTTGAACATGATCGTGTGTTTGCCCTCAGTAAAGCACACTGAAGCTTAGATGATCTTATTTACCATGAATATGCCACCCCCAGATATTAGGTTGGAGCTTTAAGTAAAAGATATTAATTTGTTTCTCCTTTAGAAGAGAAAAAATCAAGTCAGCTAGAATTCATATCTGATGGTGTAGATAGATATTTCCACAACTGCTGCTTCCAGGAGAAGCAGTGGGTCTTTCGGGATTGTTCAGTGTCTTTGTGAAGAGTGTTGTGTGTGTGTGAATTTATCTATGCATATTGCTAGGTGTATATGCGTCAGAGGGTCTGTATCAGGAAAAGGTAGAAATAAAGAGGATTGGAGAAGAGTTAGATGCATCCTTCCAGGGGATTCTAGGGAGATTGATGTCTCAGACCAATTCAGACCCCAGTTTTGCCCTGGGTCAAGAAGGCCAGATCTGGGCCAGATATAATTACTGGCCTTGAAAAATACCAGACAAGAACTGTTGAGATATGTGCACCGTTGAAGTCGGGGGAGAAGGGAGGGTATTTTGAATTCAGAACTCCTTCAGGTTGTGTGGGCTGGGAACCTGTTAATTAAAAGCTGGCAAGGACCCACCTGGGACCTGGACTGTAGGGAGGGGCAAGGAGAAGGCTGAAGTAATCCCACGTTTGTATGGTAGAGTCCTGGGACTTTTTTTCCCCCCTCGCCCTGACAAGAGAGGTTCTGGCAGTGGCCCCCTCTCACCCTCTGGGTGCATAAGGGTGGTGGTTCAGCATAAATCTGCTTACCTAGGAGGGAAGCCAGCCTTCTGGGAGGAGAAATAGGCCATTCCATCTGGAGCCCCTTCTGTGGGTTCCCTGGCCTTCTGGGTGGATACAGCTGAGTCTCTGACCCCGCAAGCTCCAACGATCGGTGACAATAATAAGAAAATATCCAGGGCACACCTTCATCTCTCGAGGTGAGAAAAAAAATGCTAAAAAATCGGCTTAGAGTTCAGAAAGTGCTGCTGAGAGCGGGCAGTTTAAAGGAGAAGAAAATTGGCGAATTTCACTGGTCAATTTCACTTCATTTCGTTCAATTTCGTTCAATTTCATTCCTTTTCATCCGGCGCCGGGAGGCCCGAGGCCACAAAGAGGGGGAGGGGGTCTTTCCCGGCAGAATTTCCCCATCTTGCAGATTTACTCTCTATGGCTGAGAACAGCCTTGATTCTCAAACTTTGACATACGTCTTTCAGCCAAGGCTAAAGGCAGACATTTTATTTCATTTTTATTTTATTTTACTGAAGAGTGTTTGGTTTCGGTGATCGGGGCACATCGGTGAGCCTCTCCCCATTTCTCTCTTGAAGCCCAATTAAATTGGTTAATTCTTTTCACCGCCGATTCCTCCCCATCTTTCTTTCTCCTGGGGCTCCCCGGACCACCCAGGAGCGGGAGTTGAGGTGGGGGCGGACACTTCCCCCTCCATATCCAATTTGTTCTCGCCACAGCGGGCGCGTCTTCGTGGTTACAAAGCGCTTTTCCCCTGATGACTTTTTTCCCCTTTTCAAAAACACTTCTCCCTCTCCCGTTCAACTAGCAACCCACCCCTCCTCCCTCTCCGCTCCGGTTTATTTAAACTTCGCCTCCTCCAGCGCCGCCGTAGCGCACACTTAATGAAGTTGAAGGCTCGGTGAGCCCGGGTGAAGAGGGTTTGGAATCTGTTGAAAGGGGCGTTTTGTGACACTGATTGGGGCGGGGGTGGGGCCGACCGCGGACCAGACAATGACGGATCAGGCGGGTTTTCCTCCGCTTAGGGTCAGGCGAATAAAGGCGCCGACGCCGTTTAAACGAGGGACCCGGCAAGAAAGAAGGGGGAAAAGATTTGAGTGTGGAGTGTGCCTCTTAAGATTTCAACCTTAGCGGGGCGGTGTGAGGAGGCCGGTCGCCTAGGGTCTTTATGGATCGGAATCAGAATTTAACTGAAATGCTGCGCATCCCGCCAAAGAGAAGCGAGGCGAGTTTGAGTTTTCTCCCAAATTATCCCGATACGTGGTTCAAAAGGTTGTCAGGGCTGGGGCCTGGCGAGGTATCCAAGAGGACCCACCCGCACCCTGAGACCCAGCTCGCATTTGACCTTGCGGCTGGCGTTCTGAAATTTCCGGAGAAACGGTGAAAGGGAACTAAAGGTGGCAGGGGTCGTGCAGGATAATTCAGCCTCCTAAGCTTTTCGTCTATCAGGGTATTTGAGAGCAAAACAAATGTTAAGAGTTTTGGAGTGGAATTATTCTGTTCCTTAAGGTCGGCATAGACACGTACCAACACAGACAGCTGTAGGAAGAACAGAGATTCCCAGCTCTGGTTTAGGAAACGAATCTTTCCGCGAGCTGGTGGGCGCGGCGCGGGGCGGAGCGGGCACCGCCTCCTTTCGTAGCGGAGAAGCTGTGCGGCCCGAGGCTGTGGCCGCTTCGGAGCCGCAGAGGCTTCGGACTGTTGCTGAAGGAAAGCGTTCTCCTCTGGTACCTGCGCCCCAGGGCTGGACAGGGCACGGAAACACCCTCGGGGTTGTTTCCGACCCGCGCACAGCTCCCGGCTCTGAGTCCTGGGTGTCTGTGGAGCTGTCTTTTCGCTCCACACGGACTCAGAGCGGAAGACGCTCGTCGTCCGCGCCTTCGCTTTTCTCCACGCGGCAGGGGTCTGCGCCTGGTGTCCTCCCCTCGGCCATGCCAGCTTTCTGGCCGCAATCTCGCCCTCCTGAAGGGGGTCGACAGGGTCCCGGTCCTCAGCCGGTACCCGCCTCCTTCTCACCCAGCTCTTCGGGGATGCGCGGCTCCCAAAGGCTACGCATCAGCGCCCGCAAGCTTGGGCCACTGGGAAGATGCTCACAGCAGCCGCTACGGGGGTTCCTGAGCGTTTCGCCCCGGGAAGCCGGGGTCTTGGAGGTCTGTGCTCATCTCCCCCGATATTGGAAAAACATCTTAGGATAGTCTCACCTTCGGGACATTTCTGTCTACGCAGGCAGAAGTATCCTTGGAATTGCGGTTGTATGGATCTTAGGACTGGAAAGGACGGATTACTGGGAGAACAAGATATTTAAATCAGTCCCAACGATTCCGAAGAATCGCCGCAGCCCTGAAAAGCGTATTTCAAATGATGTGTGGACACTGCCAAAAGGGGTGTGTGTGTGTGTGTGTGTGTGTGTGTGTGTGTGTGTGTGGCGGGGTTGGGGGAGATGAGGGTACAGGAGTGCGGCTTATTGTCCAAATTAATTCATCGCCCCTTCCAGAGGGCCCTCGCTTTGTGTCCCCTCCCCAGCAGGTGTCGGTGTTGGTTGGACTCCTAGACTAGCGGCCCATTCCATTCAGATGCAGATGTGCGGGTCCCAGTCACGGTGTAGGGAGAACCCCCCCACACACGCTCTAGTAGTCCTCACAGTCCCTCCGGGCTGCGCCTTCAGGGCCCATCGGGCTAGAGTCAGAACCGCGAGTTCCATGCAAATGTCCAGTCTTTGGGGGCTGGTTCTCCCTTCCCCACGTGTCACTCCAGTCCAGAGAGCACAGCTGGTGAGGTTATCACTTAAACTAGCCTCGAACCCAGATGGCAGGAGCCCAGAGGGTTCTGAGGACGATATGGCTCCACTTTCTGCTTTGGAATGGAAGAGACCAGACCGGGATTACACAGCAGAACAGTTGTGGATCGGGCCTGTGGATCCGAGAACTTGGGCTCCCATATGAGGAGTCGATGAGTTGGATCGCAGGGCTGGAGATGCTGGTGGGCTGGCCTTGCATCGGTACCACGCAACAGCCCCAGGCAGTCACTCTTTGTGGAGCCCCAGGCAGACTGGAGGATCAGAGGACTGTTCTGAGGATCTTTTTGCAAAGCCACGAGTCTTTGATATAGCATTAAGAGGGCAGATGGACTTTGAGGCAGCTTCCGGGTTCTGATGGGTCCCGGGCAGCAGGTCTGGCCTCTGATCTGTTTACCCCATCCCTCCTTCCTCTGTTGACCATCTGAAGAGCGTGAGGCGAGTGTCAGGGCTCAGTCTGTGTAAAGAACAGTTTTCCTGTTCAAGTAGGTACCTGTAAGGATCAAACGCTGGCGAGTTATTTTGCCTTAGGCCCTGGACATCTCTCAACTCTTTGGCTCCTTCTTTCCACAAATATTTATTGAACACCTACTGTGTGCTGGACATTGTACCAGAGGTACAAACAACAAATGTCTGCCTAGCATCATTAGATGTTGTCTAATTCTATAGTGGAGAACAGAGGAGAAACAAAAGAAGTGATTATTACCATATTTAAGGTTAAAAAAAGTGGTATGTTAAGGGTTAAGGATGGTAAATTTCCACTTTATGCTGATGGTTCCAGGTATCACAGTCTGTGTATATGTGATTTTGAGTATTTGGGGTCTGTGACTGTGTATATGTTTGTGTGTGAGAGCAAATATGTGTCTGTGTGGGTGATGGCTCAGGGCTGAACACTTGTGTGTGCTAGCGTGTATACTTGTGACTGTATCACTGTGTGAGAGTGTGCTCCCCACTCCTGGGGCAGAGCAGAAGCTGGGGGGTGTGGGTGTGGAGGACTGGGGTAGAAGGGTTAGGAATAGGTTTCTTCAGGGGTGGGGAGGAATCCTGAGTTCTGAGCCTCATCCCTTATTCTTCTAGCAAAGACTGAGACCTGTCCACCTTCTTCCTACTTCCTCCCCACTGCAGGCAAAGCTGAGATTTTGGGGCAGCCAGTGAAGGTACTGAGGGGCACAGTGACCATCCCGCAGAGGAGCAGATTAGCCTTCCCCTCAAAGCCTCCACTTCCTCCCTATCCCACTGGTGTCCAGTCCCTTTAGCCTGCCTTAGATGGGTGGATCCAGGCTCTTCCAGAGCAGTGAAGAGGCTCCACAGTCTGGCCTCTGACCTGCTCTTCGGCCTGGTGCCATGAAACCCCCCTTGCCCCCACTCCTCCAGCCCACACAGAGGGACTTGTCAGCAGCCCGAGGACTTTGGAGGCTTCATTCCTAGGAAATTAATCTCGCAGGAAGAGGACGGGGTGCCATTTGTTGAGCTGGTAACACCGGAGCTTGCAAGGTTTCCAAGGCTAACATTGAATGGATGGAGAAACAGGTCTAGAGGAGGGGTGAGGATGGGTTCGCTCAAAGTTGCTCAGCAGGATGCCAGATGTAATGCTGGAATCTGCAGCCTCTATGAACCAACATCAATAGTTAAAGTATTTGCTTAGGCATTTTGAGGGAAATAAAAACCCAACATCTCCCCTGGTACACTAGGGAAATCTTAAGTGTAGTCTGGGTTATGAATGCTTCTGAATCCTTTCTTCCCAGAGGCAGGACTGGAGGAATGTTGAGATCCAGGTGTGAGAGAGCAGACTATGATTCGGATAAATTAGGGAGTGAGATTGGTTGCCCTTCAGTGAATGAGGTGCAGTAAAGAGGAGTGTGAGTGAGCAAGAACCTCTTGTGCCTCCACCCTATGCCAGGTTCCTGGGCTGGGGAAGACAGCCGAATCCTTCAGTGAGCCCCAGACACGGCGAATTTGGGGCAATAGCTTGGCAGTGAGGAAGGGGAGGGGGTGGGAGAATGGTCAGGGTTTGCCAGTACATTGCCTCTTTCCCTTCAGTTTTCCTAGGGAGTAGCATTCCTCCTTCCCTGTTTCTATGAGTCTGTTGGCCAATCTGTCAGTCCATCCACTTGGCTATACCAAGTCTTGCTTCCCATGCCCCATCAGACTTTAGACCTTTCACACAGTGGAGGATAAATGAAGCAAATCTGAATCAGGTAGGCCTGAGGTTCCCCTGGCTGGAGCCATTTCTTCCTGAACCAGGATGGATGGAATGGCCCAGTTTTAGGGCTTTGAGGAATGGTGGTGGGCGGTAGGCCACTGTATGTGACCTCACCTGCGTGCATGCACAGGGGTGCATAGAAATTCTAAGTTACACTGATCCCCGAATGGTACCAGACTTTGATGCCTCTTTCCCTTCCTTCGCAGTTTTCATTTTAGCACCTTTCTGAAGATGATTAATACTAGGGGCAGAGAAGGGGAGGAGGAGAGAGGATTGCTGACTCTGTGACCTGGGGCCCAGTCCTTCCCGGACTCACTGAGCCTCAGTTTCTCTGTCTGAGAAATGAGCTGGGTTGTGTTGGCCTGGACTCACCTTCCAGGTCTGGGGTCAGCGACTTCGCCCAGCTCCTCCCTCTAGTCCGCCAAGGAGTTCTCACTCCTCCCTCCGCTCTCCGAGGGTGCAGGAAGGGACAGAGCTGGCCTGCCACAGGTTGTGCTGGGACTCCAGAGAAGGCACCCAGGTGGCCACCTCAGGGTGTCCATTGTGTTGAGGGGCAGGAGAGTGGGGGCTTGACTCGCTCCTTTCTGGACGCAGGAGACTTCTAGCCTAGACTGTGTGATCTCTCCTCCCCTGGCAGAGCTGTTGGAGGGGCTGAGTCTCCAAGGACTTCTTGGTTCCCTGATTCTGCATAAACCTGCCTCCTTTGTGGATAATGGGGTACACATGCTACTGTGAAGGTGAGTCATCACCTGGCAGCCTGCTGAATTTCCTACCCGTTGTGGCACTGGGATAGGTGGCAGGGAATGGGAGGCTGGTCCCCAAAGTGACAGGGAGCCTCTTCCCCAGCCCTCTTTACTCCTGCCTCTGTTCACCCAGAGACACTGCACCCTGCTTTCTCGGAAGCGCTGTGGGGAGTGTCCACGTGTTGAGGAAGAGGGAGAGGGGCTGGAAGGACTGGAACCAAGGTAGGTGGCCTGCGTTGTGGGAAGGACAGTTCCAAAGCCCGGCTGGGGAGTGGGCTGTGTTCTGCTTCTTCCTTCGGTGTCCCGTCTGAGTGCAAACTTTGAGAACTTAAGATTGTGTAGGGTCGCAGCGGCAAGTACACAGAGCCTGGGGGTGGGGGGTGGACCGCTCCCTCAGAGACAAGTCCGCAGCAAGCCTGTCCGCAGACTGAGACCCAAGGCAGAGGGGAGAGGCGGGAGAGGAAGGGCCGGGCTCCGCGGTCCCTCCTTTTAGAGCGGAGACTGGAATTTGCCGATGACTCGTCTGCTCTCTGCCTGCCTCTAGGATTCTCGCTCTCAGATGCGCTCACGCACCCAGTGGCATGCTGTGAGCAGAAAGAGCCCCAAAGATGCGTGTAAAGAATATTGGGAAGCAAAACACTTCCTGCAGGGCGAGGCCCGGGACCTGGGTCCACCAGGCTTCCCACCTGAAAGAGAGGAACGAAGTTCCTGAAACCCTCCCAGACCCGGATCCGAGCGCCGACGGGGCCCTGCCACCTGGGGGCGCCGCTGGCCCCGAAGCTATTCCGCCGCTACCGAGGAGGGGACCCCCCCCAACCCGCCCCGCTCTGACCCCGCGTTAGAGGCTGATCTGCAAACAGGGAAGCTCTTGCTTTAAAGCGAGCCGACCCAGCGCTATAAGGGATGACCCAACTCTGAGCACGCCTGACCCTGCGCTAACAGGCGTGACCCTGCACTGACCCGGGCCGATCCACGCTAACGTGCTCAGGGGATGTGCTTGGGCTAACCTGCCTGGCTCTGTGTTCTAGCTAGCAAGGCGGAAAACCGCACAGATTAAGTGCTGAGGCTGTCCAGTCCTTGTCGTAGGTCCCCAAGCTCTGATACCGAAACTGGACTCCTCATCCTCACCTCCACCTTCACACCAGTCGCTGCTCCATCCTTTCTCCTTCTGGCACATCATTTGAAGAGAAGGCTGGGCTTGCCATAAAGGTGGTGGAGTACG